TTAGGTATCGGGGTTACCAAAGCGGTTTTCCAGATGGTGGGGTTTTGACTTGTAGGTAGGGACAGATTAAAAATATATGCCAGCGGGGTAGCAAGTGCTCTTCCAAAATATTTGAAGGAATACTATGGTGTTTTATCAGCCGTGGGTGAGAGAGAAGGTTTAAGAGTGGCTAAATGCTACTGAGTTTGAGGTAACAAGTGGAGCTGACAACAAACGGCTACTGCTGGTGGGCAAGTGTATCGCGTTTATCCGCGTTCTAAAAACACCACAAAAGTAAAGTAGTCGACAAATGCTTCTACTTCAGGAGCGTCATCCGATATTTTGGTTCAATTATCCTCAATGATTATGGGATTTGGCGGAATAATTTTGGTATACTTACTCACCATCAGAGCCAGATTTTTTATATTTTTTGCAGCGGTGGCACGTTTAATTTTGTAATCCAGAAAGCGCTCCAAATGCTTTTCGAGCTGTTTACAAACATGAATATCCTCCTCAATGGGCGAAGTTAGTGGGTTTCGGGAGTCTAAAAAATTCTGCCTTCTGCTGAATCAGATTTGCAATATGGAGAAGGTACTCGTTATACCTACTCCCCTTCATCGATCTGAGCGGTGCTTGCTGATTAATGACATTCTGAATGACTACGCTAAATCTGCTATACACATCATCCATGTCTGCATAGTTAGCAAAAACTGTGAGCCCATCAATAGAAGAGAGTACCTGCATGATTTCCTCCTAATAGCAACGCTTGTAATCTCTGTATGTTTTAGGTGAGAGGCACTCACTAGTATCACTGATCAAGAGGGCATTTATATTGTGATCAGAAGTGTCTAGCGGTGGGAGAAAGTTGAGCGCACAAATACTATCCTGTGTGGATAAGACCAGACCGATAATCTTATCCTACCTAGTGGGTGAATACACATGTTGACGCAGTGAAGGAGAGTCAAACAAATCAATAAATTTCACAGCACTAGGGCTATCTGCTGAGCTTGTCTCCCAATCAATAGCTAGGTTAAAGTCCTCAAGCATTATGGTATCATTCACGGTGGAAGGTGCGAGGTCAAAAATTATCGATAAGAGCTGCTCATCCTGGAAAGAGGAAGATGGGGGTCGATACACTAAAATGAACCTGTGATGGTCACCTGCCCTGAACAACACGTCGATACATAAAACATCCGCAACTGGGTTGGGAAAGTTGACCTCAACCTTCTCACACGAAAGTACTTGATGAAGAAGACAGACAGCCCCTCCCTTCCTTCGAGACCTATCCTTGCGGACCAGGTAGTAGGGGAGATCTGAGCACACTTCACCATCAATATCTGCTATGAAAGCTATGTCGGGAATGAACGACGCAATAAAATGGTAGAAATGATGTAGTTTATTTACAAGGCTTCGGGCATTTAGCAGCACGCAACGGCAGCCTTGCTGTTGATGACTTATGAGTTTTTTGAGCCTATGTTTTTCATTGACTGAATATCAGGTGCTTCAACTAGGGTCGCGGCCTATCACTGGCTCTTCCCATCCTGAACACTTCGACGGGCCTCATGTCCGGAAAGTAGAGGATTTCCGAGACGTACTTTTCTGTGCATTCCTGATGGTGAGACGCAGGGAGCTCTTTCTCAGCTACAAGCACACCCAAAAGCACAACTGAGCGTTTTCTTCTCTCCAATTCATTCACTTTAAAAATGGGGACCTGTTGAGAAATTGCTGGAGTAGCGGGATAGCGTCTGGTGCTTTTGTTACCAGAATCTTGTTGATTCGATTCAGCAGACCACGTGCATCTTCATTCAGGGTCGGTGCAGTACCAGTAGTAGGCTGAATAGGCTTTCGCCTTGTGGTGAATTTCTCACAGCAGTGGTTTGGTCAGACGCGGATTGCTACATCGAACAAATACACCGCCACACGCTATGGCCGCAGACGCAAGAATTGACGTGAGCGATTTTGATACGGAAGAGTCTAATCGGGCATCATGGAAGGAAAACCCGCTGCTCAACTCATTGTGAGATGGATCGTCAGTTGCGAGGCTTTGGCGTTTTCCGAAGGCGCCATATTCAACTCTCGATGAACCTCGGCACAGTTCCGATACAACTTTATTTTATTGAATATAACACGAGGTGAAAGGCACGGCTCTTGACAAAAATGGTTACTGAGGCCTTTCTCTAGGAATACTCAGTGGCCCCCCAGGATAGAAAGGACCGTCTCGCGCCCAAAAACTTGACGATTAGGGCATAGTGGAAGCCCCGTCACCGGGTCGCCCGGCTTCCCGCCCCTCGATCGATGTCGCGCCAGGCGAGTGTCGAGGCGATTCAGTTCGCAATATTCGTTCTAGGACCCACACACAATCAGTTGATCGTGAGTGATGAGGCAATGTTTTTCTCCTAGTCTTTTTCCTCTGTTATCCTTTTTGCGGCCGCTATCCCTTTTTTAATTTCCTACCCGAAGAGGCTGAAAAAGGTGAGCTTATTTTTGCTATTACTAGGTTTTCCTGTTCACTTATGCTTATAAATGAATGAATTGTTGCTCACCGCAGACAGGTATTTCCACCAGTACCCACACGTACGCAATTACCCCACATTGTATAGCCCGTCCAAACGCCTCTCTTCTTCATTCTTCTGGTCTCGTTCTCGTCCAGCCCTCTTTTTAACGATTTTCTGAAGCCTTTTTCACTTTGGAAACACCGATTCACGCAATTCCTTCGCTTTCATGGCACTGTTTTCCTTCTCACCTTTCATTTCCCGTCGTAACCTGGATTATCCAAAATTATCGTGCACTCTGCCTTTAAATATAGCAAATTCATCGGCTAACGGTCGGGAGCCTTGGAGCCTAAACTAGGTGGAAACCAGTCTCTGATTTATCCGACCAAACGTCATCCCCCCCACGGGACCTCCGAAACCAGTTAGGTCATCACGTAATTGATAGTTAGACAAAAACCGTACCTTCCAAATCAGCAGAGTCAGCCCACCGGGACGACAATAGTTGCGTATATCAGGCTGATCAGAGTTCACGGTTCCGGCTGGAAGGCTAACCATATTTAGGGGGTTAGTTCCCGCGTTTTTGACATGCATTTTCCCCTCCGGTTCATTTTTGGATGCCTGACCCGGATCCAAAACGCCTCCAAGCTTTTGCGTGCGGCTGTCTAGGTTTCGCGCGTCACGGCCTCGACGACGACCTCAAAATCGCCTCCGTTATAAGATTCGCGTGTGGCAACCTAAAGCAGTAGATGGCCGCGACCTCGCCTTTCCCTCCAAATGCTCCTTAACACGAATGTAAAACGGTCTAGCCGTCTCCCCTATGTAATCGTCTGCACAATTTTGACAAATAATCCTGTAGACTACACTTGCGAAGGCACAGTCTCCATCACTGCCAATGGGACAGACCACAGACCGTTCGGAACCTTCGTTATGACCACAGTTCAAAATGCGGTCCTAAAGAAGGTTCCAAACGAGACTATGATTTATGTTATTGGGAGGAATATCCACAAGGCCAACAGTGTTTTCCACCGATCCCTTCAGACACCTCCATATGGGAGCGCTCACTTCATAGAGCTGGAACCACCACATGCCGTGGACCGAGAGAATGCGGGGGGGCGTTTGTAGCCGTTGAGCTCAGTGATTTTTTGTACCATTTCCACTGACTCTTTTCTTCCATCCTCGGCAGAAGGGACATTTATTGCGGTTTGGAACATGCTTTTGATCACCGCGAGTCCAACCTGCCGAGGATGCGCATACCGCCAGTGAAGAATTATATTTTTGTTGCTGGGCTTCCTATACCACTTTGTGGCAAAGTTGCACCCCATGAGCTTGACCTACGCATCAAGAAAAGGGAGCAGCTTCCGGACGGCTTCTCACGAGCTAGCTTGATAAGCTCACATTATGAGCAGATGTTCTAAAACGGGTGTTTTTATTTTAGCCATAAGGCCATTCATGGCTCAAATAGAAACAACTGTAACGTTCAGCCGAAGACTGCTATAACATCTGGTACCGAGTCACCCTGCTTCGCCCACTACCAACAAATAAAATTCCACCTCTGTTTAACGCCTGTCACCTGTTGTCACGTTTTTCAACTTACCGCCCGTTTGCCTTCCGGACAATTCTCAACCTGTACTCCTTCCAGTATAAAGCTTTGGGTTCAGATTTAAAAAGTCTGCAGAAGCGCTCAGAGATCTTCGGTCGAATGCTTTTTCAGTCGTACTTTCAGTAGCAACCCATTTCCTACTAAGTTTAATCACGCAAAATTCGAATAGGTAAGCATGGGTGTATTGTGAATAGTGACCACTATTATCCTACAACTTGATCGTCTTCCATATATCCTAAAGAGCTTTAATCAGAATGAAGAAGAAATGCAGAAATTGGACCTCTAGGATTTTCTTCCCTTTTTGCCATGTCTAAAGTGTACAAGCGCCTATGCCGAACACAGTGAAGGAAAAAACCCTTATAAGGTGCGAATGATTGCAGATGTCGCCAACCTTGCTTTCAGCGAAGTCTACTACTGCAACAAATACCTTGCTCTTATTTACGTGCATATTGCTGCTTTGCAGTCGAGCAGAGTCGGATAGTGTGAAATATGATTCATTTGTACAAATCAAAATTTCACACGATTTGCTCCACTAAGAAAAAAGTTGCGACTTTTGAGCGCTACTGTGAATTACTCGTCAAACACATGTACCCACTCAAACAAATGCACACCGCCGACACCCTTAATTATTTATATATAGTTGTATCACGTGATTCAGTTCCACTTGTCTCTCACAGTGGTGTATAAAATGGTGAGCTAGGCTTTTATATTACGTTTTCCGTGATCGAAGTGAAATCTTTAGATTACTTCATGCTTCATTAGGTAATCACATAATCTGGCATCATTTAGCTGTAGCCGGTCTTCTGACTAGTACGGCGCCGTTTCGGGAGTCAATCCAACTATTGCATTCCCTAACATGTTCTTGGTTTGAAATTCACAAATATGAATGGATTCATGTGGAATTGGCGTGGAATAATCTTTTTGCGTTGATGGAAGACAGCAACGTGTTGTCAGAAAACGAGGTAGGTCTCCTACGTTGAGAGTGCGCATTGTAGAATTGCGTATCCCACTGATGGAACCTTTAATTTCTTTAAATTTTACAGATTGCTATCGTAGTACGCCTGCAGAAAATATATCAACGCGCTCTTCTCAGAGTCATGGACAGCGTCTATTCTTTTGGCCGGGTGCCAAAAAATTGGGAGCAACACTTCATTCTTTACAAGTTGGTATAAGCAAAACGTTTAGAACTAACGAGTCAGGGAAACGAGGACTTCCGTCTAGGGCACATGCGAAGCGAAAAATTGAACTACTCCTTTGGTTTGTTCCCCCCCCCCCTTATATTTTTTGATACCTTGCCATAATATTATCGTTCGTAATAATTTATTAGATAACACCATATAGCAGCTCGAGGGGAACCCG